CGCTGGGTCTGGACCTTGGCCCCTTTGGTCAAATACATTTTCATCAGCGTTTGTCTTGATGGTTTCCTTCACTGTTCCAGTGTTTCTTTAATTCCTTTTCACAGATTAGCTGGGTGAGGTCTTGCCCTGATGTCCCCACTCTCTTTATTCCATTTGGCATCAGGCTTTTCTTTGAACTTAAGTACAGGACTCAGCTCCACTACACTTCCTGGTACTCCTTTCTCTCCCTCCAACCTGTATGTTTTAAATTATCTTTTTTTTTTCCTCAGCTTGCTCCTTTTCATTTACAGATCTGCAGAAGAGTGACCACTAATAGCCATGTGACCCAGTAATACCACTATTTGACCAAGTGACCAAGTACTCCAACCCGTGGGCCTACAAGGTCCATTCTCATTCAGACCTCCACAGACGTCTTTGCCCCTCTGCTTTTGCTGCCTGCAATATACTTTCTCTCAGGCAGGTTCCACTCCTTATGTCCAGTTTTCTCTTTCAGCTTGCCTCTCCGCCTTAGTAGTGTGTTTGCAGGACAGGCTTTCGTAGAGGGTGAGGTGATGCTTTTCTTTTATCCTTGTGCAGGGTACCAGGCTCTATCCTCAGACTTCCACTGCAGATTGGCCTGCAGGGGTCCATAGTAAGCCCACCACGGAAATGGAGTGCCGGTTGCCAGTAATTGGTCATTCCTTTCTTAAGTATTGATTGCTTTAGAGAGTAAAGGGACCCCAGCAGGATTAGCTGTACTGGTGGAGCGGTTATTGTGGTTATGAGTGGGAAAAAGAAAAAAGAAAGAAATTACAGTGAAACCGTGATCAGTAACAGGAGGGGGTATACACAGGGAGACTGGTAGACAAAAAGAAAAAAAAGGTGAGGTGAAATGTAGGAATTTTGGTTAGAGGAAGACTGAGAAGAGAGGGTTAAAGATAGGTGCACAAATTACAGAGCAGTCCCTTCTCTCAGGAGGTTGAGTCACAGAGGCTCAGGACAGCTAAGATGCGAGGCTACAGAGAGAAAGGAAATACGATAGAAATACTAAGAAAAGAAGAAAGGAAACCAACAATAGCAGTGAGGGGCTTTGATGGCCTGCTCCGTTGGTGTGCATGTATTTTATAAGCAAGAAAGATGGTAAAAGGGAACGAGAGCTGGGAGGAGACTGGGTGTGAGGTCAAACACTGTGCTGACTCCCTGGCCTCGTAGGCGACTTGGAGTTCCGGCCAATGTCTTGGTGTTCTCCACGGCAAAGGGGACTAGGAGCTGGGACCTACGAGGAGATGGTTTCTCTAACTTCAGATGATGAAGCAGAGCAGGTGGGCTTTCTCATCGCTAACGGTTAACCAGAGCTGGGACTGAAGAATGGGCGGTACATCTTGGTGTCTTTCCCTACCCACTTCCTCTTCTCTGACTGAAGCCTTGTCTGGTCTGGTATGTCCTGGCTCTTCCTTCTGCTTTTGCCTCAAGTGCAAGAATTACAGCTCTGCACCAATACACCTGGCCCTGCTAAGACTTTTGGAAAATAGATAGGAATTTCCAGATTTCTTTAAAGATTTTTTTTTATCATTCATACAATGTTTATTATATATACAATGTTCTCTTTGCGTGTGCACTTGTATGTCAGAAAAGGGCACCAGAACTCATTGTAGATGGTTGTGAGCCACCATGTGGTTGCTGGGAATTAAACTCAGGAAATCTGGAAGATCAGCCAGTGCTCTTAACCTCTGAGCCATCTCTCCAGCCCCTCAGATTTCTTTAGATAAATTCTTGTCTTCCATTTGGAGCCCTGTCTGCCCTTTGGCCCAGTTTGCTTGCAATGTGTCTGGGTTATTGCATGATTTCCTTCTTACTGACCTGGACCGATTCCTCCCTATACTCTGGAGGGTTCTTAAGAACTCTCTTGTGATTTTCAGATTTAGATGTTTAATTTCTGTTTATAGTTTCCAATTACAATTGCCTGTGTTTTACTGATTTGATTTTTGAAGACACTGCTTGAGAGAATAAAGGCGTCTTGGGAACAGATTCCATCCCTGACAACAGTGAACTTTGGCCAAAGTAATTGACAAGAGTAATAACATTCCATTATGGGTGACACAGTTTTCTAAGTTGGCATTCTAGAAGGCATTGGCAAAATGCCTCATGGTGGAAGAGAAAGAGCAGCTGAATCTGAGATTTTATAACCCTGGCTGCCTGGCCTGAGAACACCTTAAAGGGGCATGAAGGCGCTCTTACTGCAGGTCTAGAACTAACTAATCTCATGGTGTATAGAAACACAAGCAGGTCGCCTTCGCCGGGGAGCGAGCCCCTCGGCCCCGTCTCTCCCTCATGCTGGTTTATACAGCTCAGCACACCAGGCTGGCGGTAAGGTGGCTGTGACCGGTGTGCATGCCGCAGGTGTAGGCTTCACACCCTTACCTGTGGAGGGGCTGCGCCCTCTGTTGAGAGAGCCTGCCTTTCCTCAGTCGCCATTTCCTGCCCTGCTTCCTGCTATGGTCAGATAGTCCTGGGAAGACCCTTTCTCCTTTTTCTACCATCTGATACCTGGAAAACGTGGCAAAGTAAGTCCACCATCCCCAACTGTTACTGTTGTTTTGGTTTGGGTTTTTTTGTTGTTTATTTTTGAGATAGGATCTCACTATGTAGGCCAAGATGGACTCGGATTCACAGAGATCCCGCCATCTCTGCCTCCCGAGTGCTGGGATCTGACTCCTTTTTATCCAGTCACTCTTGCCTTTCTGGTCCATGATTTGGCCATACCCTGAACTGGAAGCTAATAATCATTTGGATGTAAAACACTTTATGTGTTAACGCCTTCTCATATGCCAGTTTGAAAGAAAACATCTTTCATCTTGCTTTACATAGAAGATTTATTTCCTAGGTTGGAAATATGACTGCCTGAGACAAAATTCTCTTCCACTTTTCAGTGGGATTACCCATAAGTATCACTCGAGGCCTATTCACCCAGCTGCATCAGAGAGGCCTGGAAGGCCCAAGCAGCCTGGGGGCCCACTGGTGTGGTTATGTGTGTTGCAATGTAGAATAGGTTGGTAGGTATTTATTTAGGTATTTGAAAAATGAACATGTCAGCTGGGCGGCAGTGGTGCCCTGGGAGCACTCTGGGAGGCCAAAGCAGGGGGATCTCTGTGAGTTCAAGGCTAGCCTGGACAGCCAAGGCTACACAGAGAAACCCTGTCTCAAAAAAAAAAAAAAAATGAACATGTCTTAGTTGGGGTTGTCATCACTGTGATGAAACACCATGACCAAAAGCAACTTGAGGAGGAAAGGGTTTACTTGCCTTACACTTCCACATCAGGGTCCATCACTGAAGGAAGTCAGGACAGGAACTCACACAGGGCAGGCACCTCGAGGCAGGAGCTGATGCAGAGGCCATGGTGGGTACTGCCTACTAGCTGGCTCATCATGGCTTGCTCAGTCTGCCTTCTTACAGAAATCAGGACCACCAGCCCAGGGATGGCACTGACCACAGTGGGTTGGGCCCTTCCCCCACACTCACTAATTAAGAAAAGGTTCTACAGCTGCTTCTTAGGGAGGCATTTTCTCAATTGAGATTTCCTGTTTTCAGATGATTGTAGCTTGTGTCAAGTTGACACAAAACTAGCCAGCCTAGACTGTATGAACATTTTTACCTATTCAGGAGAAGTATGTCATAATCGAGCCCAATTCACCAGTAAAATGGCTTCCTCTGAGAACTCATGATGCGTGTGCTGTGAGTTAGTGTGGAGAGTGGGCACTGATGTTCAGTTCATTGTGTGTCTGCCTCTGACATGCCAGACAGAATGGCTTGCTGTGCTGAGTACAGCTGTGCACACTCCTCACTGGCAGTGGCCTGGTCTGAGGGTGGGTCCCGTTAGTCCTGCACTGTGCTTGTCTCGGAGGGAGTGTGTCGTTGACTCTTCTATTCTGTGACAAAACAACATGACGATGGCAGCTTATAAAAGAAAGTGTTTAATAGGGCTGACAGCTCCCGAGATTAGAGACCATGACGGCAGAGCGGAGGCTTGGCTGCAGGAAAAGCTAAGTGCTCGAATCTCCATCTACAAGCAGGAAACAGAACAAGGCAGGTTATGAAAGAAAGCATTTAATTGGGCTCACAGTTCAGAGGGAACAGCTGAGATCTCACGCTTTGATCCACAGTAGGACCCCCAGGGACACACTCCCAATAAAGCCACATCCTAATTCATCCCAAGTAGTTCCACCAACTGGGACCCAATCATTCAGCCAAGAGCCTGTGGGACCACCCTTACTCAAACTGCGCAGAGCGGTCTCCAGGCCTGGCCCAAGTCCGGCCTGAGAGGTTGTAAAGAAGCCCGGGAGCGTGCAGGGTGATGTGTAGCTTTTTTTCTTTTCATGTCAGGTTGGTGACTCAAGTTAAGTTGAGCCTGGTGATGAAGTACCCTGAGCTTTCACGTTTCCCTGTGGCTCTTGCTGGGAAACTACTCTTCTCCGCCCCTCACCTTGGGTGTGAAAAGGGTTGGGAGTTTAGCGCCTGGCTGCTGCACGGCCTTGGAGGCATTTCCTGATACACATAGTTAGACATGGGTGCAATGCTAACTTTTTTGTGTGTGTGACAAATTTTGTCCTGTTTGTTAATTTAACTAAGCTAAATGATTTATAATATAGGTGTAAAAATTAAACTTCATTTGACCCTATTTAGTGAGCTTCTTTCATTTGGTAGGACCAAGCATTCCGAGGTCTTTTTTAGAATTTGTTTGCTGTGAAGTGACTTTCTGAGGCCTGAGATTGTTCTGCATGAGGCTGCTGCTGCCGGCAGCTGCATCCCATGGACACATACAGAGCTAATTCATTCCACCTGTTAACAGACCTGAGCGAAGAAGCCTAAGCCTCAGGAAGTAGCGGGTGGGAAGATGGTTCTCCAGGGCTGCACCGAGTTTAGTGTCTCTAAGTTTCTGGCACCTCTGAGTCACTCTTGATGTGGAACTAAGGGAAGGAGCTGTGGCTACTCCCCGGGTCTCCTCCTTTGTTTGGTTTTCCAGGAAGAGCATGCTAAAGGAGAGGGTCATGGACTTGGTCCCTCAGACAACCGTCCTGCCCCTGCTGTTTGGCTGCCTGGGGATTTTCAGCGTCTTCCGGCTGTTGCAGTGGATCCGCTCAAAGGCCTACCTGAGGAATGCTGTGGTGGTGGTCACAGGTGCCACCTCAGGACTCGGCAGAGGTAAGTCGTGGAGTCTGTGATGCAGGGAGTGGAATCAGGCAGGCTTCACAGGATCACAGGACATGCAGAAGGGACCTGCTGTCAACGGTCCAATTGGAAAAAGGCGGGTGAGCAATGAAGGAGGCCTGAGGCTCAGCGTGGGGGATGAAGGCACTCCAAGGGGCTGCTCCTAGGCAGTAGGTAGCCTTCCTCAGCTCAGCGGCTTGTTGAAAGAGGGACCTTCAGGTGTGGAGAACTAGATGGAAAGGTGTTTGACCTTTTCCCGGGTTCGGTGATACACTGGCTTTGGTTTGGTTGGGGGCACGGGGCTGGCTTTCGGGCGTCCTCCTCTGCCCTGTTGTGGACTTAGAAGGATTAGAGGTCAGATCCACGAGGGCCCTGCTTTCGTCACCCAGGCCTCCACTCGGTGCGGTTGCCCCTCAGTGATACCTTTGAGGCTCAGGGAAAGTGTGTTGGCTGCAGGCCCAGCCCTTCCCTGGAGCTCTGTCACTGACTCCAGCAGCCCCTGGGAAGGTGAACAACAGAGCTGCCACCTAGAGCATCCCCCCCTCTTCTCTCAGTCTCTGACCCTGCACAGCATGGCGGCTCCCGGTGGCCCCAGTGCCATTCCGGGAAGGAAGGCTGAGCCCTGGGCTGCACCTCTCACCTCAGTACCAGTGCTGCCTGAGCAGTGTGTTCCCCACAGGTGTGGTGGGGAGGGACGGTGCTGTCAACACAGCTGAAGTTGAAGCCCGGTGACTAGATCCAGGACTAGCAGCAGCAGCGCCAGCAACCAAACTCAGGCTTGACTCGATCCTAAAGCCACAGCTGGGAATAATACAGCTGGGAATAACACAGGGATAGTCCAGATGCATGCAAAGGCAGGAGTGGAATGGGGTGGTGAACGGTGTGGGAAGGTGGAGGTTATAGATAGGAACACAGGGACTTACAGGCCTGCTGTGTGCCAGAGGAGCTGGGGAAGGTCTTGGGCTCACTTGTACACCTGATGGCTGCTAGTCGAGGTCCCTGAGGGTGACCCTTGTGTCTGTCGTTGGAGCATTGGACCTTTTAAAGCACAGCTGTGCCAGGCCCTATGCCATTGGTCAGGCCTCTGCCCTTATTCAGCTACTATAAATAGGATGGTTAGCAGCTGCTGCTTAGATCTCAGTGACGAGGGGCAATTTGAGTGTGTTGTTTATTTTTATTTAATTTTTGGGGGGACAGGACAAGGGTCTTACTGTGAAGTCCTAGATGGCTAAGAACCTGCTATATAAATAAGCCAGGTTGGCCTTAAACTTGTGATGGTTCTCTGGCCTCTGCCATCCTGGTGCTGAGATTACAGGCACGTGTCACCATGCCATGCCTAGCTTAAGAACACATTTTAAAGCCCTTGAAGAGTGACAGCTGGCTCGATTGGAATGGTTCACTATGGGTACTGGATGTGAGGGTGTACAGGGCACTGTCTTTATTATCTGCACTGTCTCTCCCAATGCCAGGACTGAAGGGAACAGAAAGTGTGACGGAGAAGACCGCATCTGAGCGTAGTACAGTGTGCTTTTCCGTAGTCGAGTCACTGTGCTTCCATTCCTTCCCGTTTAAGGCCTTAGGAGTTCATCCAGATACTGGTACAGAGCCCTAGCTGGCCACCTCAGAAGGAGACCCCTCCTGTGATGCTGCTGTTCCCGCAAATTTGCTGGGACACACGTCCATGGGTCCCCCCTCCGTGTCTGCTGCACCAAAACTCAGGGTAACAGAATGAGTTTTTAGGCAAACTGACCCTCCAAGCTTGTCTTCTGTTTTGTGTGTTTAAGCTACATGACCTTGTCCCTCTAGAACATTGACTAAAGGTCCAGAATGTTCTGAATGCCGACTTCCGCCAGTCTGAAGCATGGCTGTGCCCAGCTGTCTTGATTTTCAGCCCAGGCATGCCAGCAGTACTGGGGCCTTGTGTGCCGCAGTAGGAAACTTTCGGCCCCTCCCTCCCTGTAGCAGCTTTTCCAAGCAGTAACAGCGGAGTCCTTCCAGCCTGTTCCCAGCTGTCACTCCCTACACCAATTTAACCCCTCCCCTCCCTTTGGGATCTCTAGGAAAGCAAAGCTCACGTGGAATCTAGATCATTTTCTAGAAGCTGTCTACAACAGTATGACTCCTTGCTTTTGGTCAGGACAGGACAAAAATGGGGTGAGGAAACCAGCAGGGCCCAAGCTTCCGACCTATAGGATGCTCTAGTAAGCCAGGCGAGCTGGACTGTGCATAGGCCCCACCCGGCCTGGCTGGGGGGCTTTGCTGCTTGCTTTGCTGGAGATTGTGACAAGGCGAAGCCAGATCACCACACAGAGAGAGCGAGAGGGAGAGGTAGAAGCGGCTTCTGCTTTTCAGGCATCCGCCTCTCGTCGGGATGAGCCAGTGAATGGCATTGCTGGGCGTTGCTGGGCCTCCTTCAGAAGTGACAGCATCCCTGAATGTGCACTTGTCCGGTCTGCTTGGCACCTCCTTCCAGAAGTCTGGATGTGGGGCGCTGGCCTAATGTGCTGGAGAATGCTGTGCAGGAGGCTGAAGGAACAGCCACGGGGCACAGAGGTACTTCTCTGTCCCATGAGCTGCTCAGCTGGCAGAGCACCTCTCTCTTTTGTGAAGAGCACTGAATCTTTTCTGCCTGGCTTTTGTGTGAGGGAAGGGTTGTTCCTAACAGTGTACACTGTGTAGACCTTTGACCCTGCCCCTTCTCAGGTAAGCAAATGATAGCCCCGTTCCTTGCCAACCCTTCAGTGATGGCTTTCAGGGGTTGAATTGCCCCGAAAAGCAGGCTTGTCCCATCTATGAGCCATGGGGCCTAGGAAGCCACTAGACCACCAGGTTCTGAGACCTGTGGTGAGTCAAGGGCCCATGTATCTGCGACATCCGTTCATGAGCAGGACAGTGTCCTGGTTTATTCAGACTTATGCCAGGTCATTAGTTTGTAGAACACTATGAAGGGCAGTTTGAAGCGGTGCATGCCTGTATCCTAACTCTTGGATGGTAGAGGCAGGAGGACTAAGAGTTCAGGGCCATTCTCAGCTACATGGTGAGTCTGAAGGCCAGGCTAGGATACATGCGATCCTGTCTCCAAAAAACAAAACAAAACAAAACAGAAAAAGTATTAGCTGGGCGGTGGTGATACATGCTTTTAATCTCAGGGCTCGGGAGGCAGAGACAGGTGGATCTCTGAGTTTGAGGCATATTGAGTTCAAAGATAGCCAGAGCTGTACAGAGAAGCCCTGTTTTTGAAAACCAAAAAGAAAAAAAAAATAAAGTATTAAAAACAGGTATTAAAATACTTCATAATGCTTTACCTTTGCAGTAATTACCTACTTTAACTTATTCAGCCTCAGTCCCCTCTGGTTTAGGTATTATTTGCATCTTACAGAAAGAGAAACAACTTGTAACTTGGGTGACTTTCAGAACCCATAAGCAAAGGCAGTCTAGAGTTCTCCACAGATCCAGCTCAAGTCCCTCCTCTGGAGTGGTGCCAAGGCACTGAGAGCTAGCTACGACACGTTTGGGAGAGTAAACAAGGAGCAAGAGACAACTCCCCAGTTTTCCCCTACTGAATTTTGCTGCTTGAACCCCTTCTCCAGCCAGCAAGGCCTGAGGCCCAACATCCCCTTCCATGGCCTCCCAGTTCCTTGTGTACCATCTCCCTGCCTCCAGCATTTCCTAGGCACATACCCTTTGGGGTCAGGACTCCTGAAAGGCCCCGGCCTTTCTGCTTTGATTTTCCAAAGAGCTGTGCATTAGTGGCCTGCAGAGCAGTGTTGGTGGTGCCAGAGGTGACAGGACACAGGCTCCAGGGACCACAGCAAAAGGAGAACTAACTCTGCTTAGCCTTGCTGGGCTTCATCAGTCACAAGAGTTGATGCCCGCAGGGTTGCTCAGGGTTACATAACAACACCTTGGAAGCAGGGTGTGGTGGCACACGCCACTAATCCTAGCACTCAGGGAGGCAGAGCAGGCGGATCGCTGTGAGTTCCCGGCCAGCCTGGTCTATAAAGTGAGTCCAGACAGCCAAGGCTACACAGAGAAACCTTGTCTGGAAAAAACCCCAAACCAAACCAAACCAAACCAAACCAAAAACCAACATGGAAGCATCATACATCATGTATGAACATTATACTCACAAACTTGTCCACCTTCCCTGCTTTTCTCTGCCTCGTAATGTGTGTCACACCTTGGGGTGTGAACCCTACCCTGAGTGCCCACCCCCAGCTACTCCTACTCCCAGCTCCACCCTGGTCTGCACATACATGTCAAGTGTGAGAGAAGCAGGCATTAGGCAGGGTTGGGTGACTTTGAGCTGAATTGCCTGGAGGAAGAATGGCCTGGATTATTTCAACTATTAGTTCTTTTCTCGTAGAATGTGCCAGAGTTTTCCATGCTGCGGGGGCTAAGCTGGTTGTCTGTGGCCGAGATGTGAAGGCCCTTGAAGAACTCGCGCGTGAACTTGCTGGTTCTTGCTCCTCCCAGGTGAGCCTACAGCAAGGGTTCTGTGGGGCAGGAGTGAAGAACTGCCGAGGGCCACAGTAGCCTACTCCATGGCTGCTGAGCTACAGGGCTAATGACTAAGGAAGTCCCCTATGTACTCAACTAGTAGGGTGTTGGTTGAGGAAATCATGAAGGTTTTTAAAATTTTAATTGTCTTATAATATTTATAGTACTAATCATTTTTTAAAAAAAATTATGTATACAGTGTTCTGCCTGCATATACCCCTGCACACCAGAAGAGGGCACCAGATCTCATTGTAGATGGTTGTGAGTCACGTTGTGGTTGCTGGGAATTGAACTCAGGACCTCTGGAAGAGCATCCAGTGCTCTTAACCTCTGAGCCATCTCTCTAGCCCCTACTAATCATTCTTAACATACTAGGTTTTACTCTTTGAGAGTTTCATACATGCATAAAATGTATTCAGCCACAGTCACCATCCACTCTTCCAGCTCCTCCAAATGCTCCTGTCCGCACCTCTCCCAACTTCATGACTTTAAAAAAATAACCCAAGTCTAATTTGTGCTTATAAACTTTGCCAAATCCAATAGCATGAAGACCCCCTAGGGCTCTCTCCTATGAATTGTGATAGTTTTAAATCTTGCATTTATGTTTTCAAAGTTATTTATTTATGCCTTGTTTTTATTAGGTCTTTGTTGATGAGTGTGTATTCTGTGTGTGTGCTATTGCTCTTAGAGGCTAGAAGATGGCATCAAATCTGGAGCTAGAGTTACAGGTGGTTGTGCGTCACCTGGCAAGTTGCTGTGAACTGAACTTGGGTCCTCAACCACTAAGCTATAGCTTCAGCCCTGTTGAGTTAATTTTAATATATTGTATTAGGAAGAGGTCCAATTTCATTCTGTCATTTTTCTTATTTATTTATTTGTTTATTAGTTAAATGTTTTAGTTTTTTGAGACAGGGTTTCTCAGTATAGCCTTGGCTGTCCTGGAACTCACTCTGTAGACCGGGCTGACCTCGAACTCACAGATATCCACCTGCCTCTGCCTCCCAAGTGCTGGGATAAAGGTGTGTGCCACCACCACCTGGCTTAGTTGGGTCAGTTTTTAAAAATTCATTTTCTCAGTCATTATCTTTTAATTAGAGAATTTACTCTATTTACATTTAAAGGACTTTCTGACCAGGAGGGACCCTTTGCCATTTGCTATTCCATTGTCTATATGCTTCTAAGCTTTTAATTTTTTTTTAATTATTTATTTATTATATATGCAATATCTGCATGTCTGCTTTCATATCAGAACAGGGCGCCAGACCTCACTATAGATGGTTGTGAGCCGCCATGTGGTTGCTGGGAATCCAACGCAGGACCTCTGGAAGAGCAGACAGTGCTCTCAACCTCCGAGCCATCTCTCCAGCCCCTAAGCTTTCAATTTTAATCCCTCATTTCTTAATTAATCATCATCTTTTGTGAATAGTTGATTTTCTTTCTTTGATGGTAAAATATTTTGATTCCCTTGTCATTTCCTTATGTGCCTATTTTCTTTGTGATCATGGGGATTCCACTTAACATCCTAGTTATAATAACAGTAACTTACGTCGTTGCCTCTAACTTCAGTAGCACATAAAACCGCTCCTGTACGGCTCTCCATTTCCTGTCGTTTATGTCACCTATTGTATGTTTGTGCGGTTTGCCTGTGATGAACTAACGGCTCTCCAAGCCCCTCCTCATCTGCTTTTAAACTGTAGTGTCTCTACCACTCACTGTACTTTTAGCTCTAGAGTTTCTTTTTATAATTTCCCCTTTATGGAAGTATTCACTTAAAAAATTCCTCTATTATCTGTCTTTGCCAGTGTCTTCCTTCATTCTTTCAGCATTGCAGAGATAGTTGTTTTAATGTCTTTATTAAATCTAGCATCTTAGCATCCTGGGGATTCTTTTTAAAGACTTATTGATTTGTTTGTTTGGTTTGGTTTTTTGAGACAGGGTTTCTTTCTATGCCCTTGGCTGTCCTGGAACTTGCTTTGTAGACCAGGCTGGTCTCAAACTCACAGAGGTCAGCCTGCCTCTGCCTCTGAGTGCTGCGATTAAAGGTGCGCATCGCCGCTGCCCAGCCAGGGATTTATTTACAATTTCGAAGCTCCAAAGCAGTCTCCTGGCAGCTCTTTTCAATGGGAGCAATCGAAATAGAGCCACCTGTCTCCATGCCACACACACCTCTGCCATGAGCGGCAGGTCAGCAGTACTTAGAAGCTAAGGTCCTTCTTGCCTACCCTGGGTCCCATGATCTGTACCAGAAATATGGACTGCAGGAGTTTCCCACAGTTGCCTGCCGGGCTGTGGTGGCAGCAGCTACAGCAGCCCAGTAGCTGCAGTGCACCGCTGCGAGCTGTGGCTTGCCAGCAAAGTCCCCGAGGCAGTTACACTCACTAGAGCTTCCAGCCAGTTCACAGGGCCCGTTAGCACAGCCATCCGGCTGGAGATGCGGTCACAGAGCTTCCCATTCTGCCATCTTCTCTGCCTCCCCCCCGCTTTCCCCCTCACCGAGCTGGGAACCGCGCTGGGCCCGTTTTCCTGGCCCCTGATACCCTGCAGCATTCTTTGTGACGGTAGTCCAGACTGGGGCAGGAGCTGTGTCCGGCCTCCTTTCCGCGTGTCCCAGCGTCAAGCAAACAGCCTGGGACGGACAGTGCCCGTGCGCTGATGAGTGCTGAGTGATGTCACGATGTACAGTGTGGAGCAGCTAAGGCAGCTGTTGCTAATAATGCACATGGTAGTGGGGTATACCAGTTCACAACATACACGATCCTCATTTATGGGGCTCACAGTCTGGCTGGCAAAAGGAGCCTGTGGTCATATCTCGGGGCACAAAGCAGTCCCCGTCAATTTAGGAGAAATTTAGGACCAGATGTGAACACCACAGCCAGGAACTTCAGAGGCTGCTTCTTTGGAAGAGGGTTGCCACAACCTATAACATTTGTGTCAAGTGGGCCGGGCCCAAAACTCTCAGAAGAAAGAACAAGGCTGTCATTCCTAAGGTGCATTTTGTGTTTTGTGTTTAATCAGGGACAGACACACAAACCCTACACGGTGACCTTCGACCTCACAGACCCTGTTGCTATTGCCGCAGCAGCAGCTGAGATCCTCCAGCGCTTCGGCTACGTGGACGTCCTCATCAATAATGCTGGGGTCAGCTACCGCGGTGCCATCAGTGATACCCTGGTGGACGTGGACCGGAAGGTGATGGAGATAAACTATTTTGGCCCTGTTGCTCTAACGAAAGGTAGGCATCTTGGGGTAAGAGATGTGAGCACTAGTCACTAGCTTGGTTTCTTTTTGACGGGACATTGCCTGTTTCTGTCCACTTTGGCCCCTGCAGCAGGTGTGGTCATTAGAATTTGGGTGTTTTGCCTTTTCTGGGTATGTTTGCGTTGTATCTCTTTTGCGCATCAGTCACATCAGTGTTGGTCCCATTGAAGCAGCTTTGCATTTCTGACCCATGGTACTTGCAGCCCACTGAGGGCAATATTTTAATGTATTTTGAAGGTCAGAGGCCAAGCTCCCAGTAGGTGGGACCAGGGGACTGTGCTGTTTGTACATTCTGTTCTCTACCCCTCCCCTGCCATGGTTCTCTGCAGAAAACTCTAGTGTCTCCTCCATGGCACCAGGCACAGTGACTGGGAGAGGTGGTCTGACTTTCTACCCTGTCCCCTCAGCTCTCCTGCCGTCCATGGTCAAAAGGAAGCAAGGCCACATCGTCGCCATCAGCAGCATCCAGGGCAAGATCAGTATTCCTTTCCGATCGGCATGTAAGTGCTTTACCTTCCCTTCCTGGAGCATTTTTGTTTTACTTTATTTTTTATTACAAAAATGATGTGTTCACAGCCAGGCGGTGGCAGGAGCCTATAATCCCAGCACTCAGGGAGGGAGAGGCAGGCATATCGCTGTGAGTTCGAGGCCAGCCCAGTCTACAAAGCGAGTCCAGGATAGCCAAGGCTATACAAAGAAACCTTGTCTTGTCACTGGAGAGATGGTTCAGTGGTTAAGAGCACTGGCTGCTCTTCTAGAGGTCCTGAGTTCAGTTTCCAACAACCACATGGTGGCTCACAACCATCTATAGTGTGATATGATGCCCTCTACTGGCATGTGGGTGTACATGCAGAGAGGGCACTCACATACTTTAAATTAATAAGTAAAAATTAAAATTTTTTTTATTAATTACACTTTATTCACTTTGTATCCCCCCTGTAGCTCCCTCCCTCCTCCTCTCCCAATCCCTCCCTTCTTCCCCCTTCTCCACGCATGCCCCTCCCAACGTCCACTGATAGGGAAGGTCTTCTTTTCCTTCCTTCTGATCCTAATCTATTAAGTCTCATCAGGAGTGGCTATATTGTCTTCCTCTGTGGCCTGGTAAGGCTGCTCCCTGCTCTTCTTTAGTAAGATTCCCTCTATCTGACAGAGGGCTAATATCCAGGATATAAAGAACTAAAGAAGTTAAAAAGCAACAAATCAAGCAATCCAATTAAAAAATGGGGAACAGAGCTAAACAGAGAATTCTCGATAGAGGAGAGAAACACTTAAAGAAATGCTCAACATCATTAGTCATCAGGGAAATGCAAATCAAAACGACCCTGAGTTTCACCTTACACCCATCAGAATGGCTAAGATCAAAAACTCAAGTGACAATATATGCTGGAGAGGTTGTGGAGAAAGGGGAACCCTCCTCCACTGCTGGTTGGAATGTGAACTTGTACAACCACTCTGGAAATCAATCTGGTGCTTTCTCAGACAACTCGGAATAGCCCTTCCTCAAAAAAAAATTTTTTTTTTTTAATAAGATGTGTTCATTATCTAGCTTCATACACTGTAGAAATACCCTACAGATACATGAAGTAACTTCATCAGAATGTTCTTTCTGGTTTGTATTGTTTAGTTTTTTTGAGACACAGTCTCTCTACATAGCTCTGGCTAACCTGGAACTCACTGACTCAGAGACTCGCCTCCCACCTGCCTCTGCCTCCCAGGTGTTAGAGTTAAAGGTGTGTGGTGCCACACCAGCAATGATCCGAACATTCTAAGGAGTCACATGCCTTCATTCAAATCTTAATTTACTTCTGAGCCCTTAGGTGGTGTTGGGTAGGTCCCTACCTCTATATGCACTTCCTTACTTGCAAATGGAGAAAAGCAGATTTAAGTGAGTAAGGACTATGACAAAATTAACGTAGCCGTTTTCCTAGACACTGGGAACTCCTGTACCCCCACCTCGGGCTTTGGCCTTTAGCAGTGATCTATGACAGAATGTCTTGGGGTGTTTATATCTCTAGGTGTTCACAGAGAGGTTAAGATAAGCCCCAAGAAATAGAAACATCAGGTAACACCAAAACATCAAAACCACCCAAGCCGGCTTCTAATTCAGGCGCTCACTGTCATTTCATTTGTCTGCCTTCCTGCCTTTTACACATGCACACAAGCACACAGAATGTAGCTTCTGGTTGAGAGGGTTTTTAAAAAGATTTGAAAGGTAATATCACAAAAACTCCTATATATCCCTCTTACGTCATTCTCTGAAACACTGACTTGACAGCCTTTGCTCATCCACCTCCAAGGACCAGTGCAGTCTGGCTAGCCCAGTGGAGGTGGGACTGAACCGGCCCAGCACTTAGAGAGGGCAGTGCCAACACTCAGATCAATAAAGGACAGCTGGCCATTAACCAAAACATATTCTTTCCCCAGGCCTGGACCCTGGTTCTGCCTTTTGGCTCTCAGTTTGTGTCTTTGGACCTTCACTTCACTTCAGACCTTAAGCTTTCGTACCCCTCACAGTGACTCACAGCCATCGTTTGCACATGCCTCCCAGCGCTGGCTCAAAGATGCAATGAGACGTGCTGTGTAACCTAAAAGTAGTGCAGCCTCATGCTTCTATGGGTATTTTCTCTGTTGTCTCATATTTGTCTGCTCCAGATAGCCTTGGATAGTGACCTAAAGCTGCTCAGATGAATCTGCAAAGAAAGACAAAACCAAATTGCTGTAATCAGGAACGAGTAAGCAGCTAAGCAGCTACGCCACAGTGTTAATAATGGGTAAACTGGGGTAGAGGTTCATAGAGTGTGTAATGAATTATTATATTCCATATTTTACTTTGCCTTATGCCACTAGCTTGTTTTGGGGGTGAGGGAGGGGTTTTCGAGACAGGGTTTCTCTGTGTAGCCATAGCTGTCCTGGAACTCACTCTGTAGACCAGACTAGCCTCGAACTCAGAACTCACAGAGATCTGCCTGCCTCTGCCTCCCCAGTGCTGGTATTAAAGGCCTGCGCCACCACTGCCCGGCTGTCCTGCCAGCTTTTGTTGTCTGATTGCTCACTGGCTACAGCAGGCATCCCTGGTGGTCTGGATACTATGTGGCTAACTAGATTGAGTGGCCAGCTTCCTAGGGAAGTGGGGTTCACTGTGGTTATACTTGTGAGGAGTCCACAGCACGGCACAGCACACACACTGGGGAATAGCACTCTGTGTGCCCAGAGGAGGGGCCAGCTGTAACTGGCAGCTTTGTGGGCTTGGTCTAGACAGCAAAGCTGAAAGCCCCTGGCTTGGGAGCTCCGGAGTGACCCAGCCGTCATTAGAGGCTTCTGTTCTGAAGACCCAGAATGGCTGCTCTCCTCAGTCCTTGGGCTGCCTCCCAGAGTCACAGTCTCTCCACAGTCATCCAGACTAGCACCTCTACTCACGCTGCCCTGAGGGCTCCTGCATTGTCACTCCTTGCCTTGCCCTCCCAGTATATTTGGAGCCCCTTTTAACCAGAACTAGAGGAAACGGATTTTGTGTGCAGTTGCTGGTCTGTTTCCTAAGAGCCTTATGCCAGGGTCTCCAAGTCCCTCTGAGAGCCTGACACCTGCCTGGAGAGCCGCTGCTGGGGCACAGAGGGGCCTCTGATTCTCTGGACAGCACCAGCATGGGCTCAGGTTCCTCCATGTGGAGGCAGTCAGAAGTGCTTGAACCAGGCTTGCGTCTGCACGGACCTGCGGGAGGGAGCCCCCCTGGGGCCCTGCTCAGCAGCAACAAAGACAGAACAGCCTGTGCAGGCTCCCGTGGGATCCAGGTCTGTCACTGGGGGTCCCTTCCCCCCATAGGACTAGACAGACCCACTTGGCAGGGCTGAATATATTTATAGATGTCTGTGTGCACAGATACCCATACACACACCAAATATAGCATTTTTCTTTTTTTCCTGAGGAAGCTGAAGACGTGGAGACACTTTATTCCTGTTACCTAGCGTCTCCTAAGACAAAGACACAGCGCACTAGTCGGGACGTGAGCATTTGCTGTAGTGTTGTAATCTTAAATGGTAAATCCACATCAGCACACTTTCTGCCTCTGTCCACACCCACAGACGCGGCCTCCAAGCATGCAACCCAGGCATTCTTTGACTGTCTGCGTGCAGAGATGGAGCAGGATAACATCGAGGTGACCGTGATAAGCCCTGGCTACATCCACACCAACCTCTCTGTAAATGCTGTCACTGCTGATGGCTCCAGATACGGAGGTAGGTCTGGCTCCTCTCCTTCATCACTAAAAGCGCCAGACTGACCGAAGTGAGCACTCCACTGGCCTCAGTGGCTCCAGGGTCAGAGTGTCGGTTGCAGATGTGGACTGCTGTGCTCCTTGTCTGCCTTTGTTTCCCCACTGCGATCCCTTTGGCCTATCACCACTTCAGTTTTCAGAGCAATCCCCTCCCCCATAGATTGAGAATGGGACAGAAAATTCCTCAGCTGAAATGTTCCCAAACTTCGCACTAACTCATCTGCAGATCCCAAGGCCCAAGGAATATCGTCCTGATTAGAACTAAGTAAATCCAACTCAGGGCTGACGGGTGTACAGGGGTGAGATCAGAGGAATAAGGGGGCATGACTGGCTCCTGCACAGGGTGCTGGAGAAGTGGCTGGTTTGGGGATGGGGTGTTCAGGGGTTGGCTGCGGCAGTGGCAGTCCCCAGCCTACCCAGCCAGGAGCAGTGCAGAGCTGACTGCAGGTTCTGCGCAGGGGCTGAGCAGCCTGACCCCTGCACATACACACAGGAACAACGAGCAGCTGCCTTCCATCTTGGGTCAGCTGGTCCAAGAGTGCTGGAACTATGAGGCCAGTCTTACCTTCCTGAGTGTGGAGCAAGCCTGCTGTCTATCCGTCCGACAGACTAAGCCTAAGCCCAGCGCCCAGGTTGTGTTTTCTGTGGGTCTGTGCTGCTGCCGCCAAGCAGGCACTGCAGGACTTGGACCCATCCGACCGGGCCTGAATCATGACCAGCACCAGTCTGGGTGACCGTTTTGCCATCGCAAGCCTCTCACAGAGAGCCACAGGGGTGGGAGCCGGACAGCTGCAACCCTGTTTATCTCAGAAAATTCAGCCCAAACAGCTCTCCAACTCCCCACTCTCCTGTGGTGAACTGTGAGGACAGACACCAGTGGGGGAGCCGTGGTCTGGGTGGTGTGTGCTTTTGGCCTCTCCTGTGTCTGCTGACTGGCTGTGCTCTGTTAGCAACGTGGATGAGTCACCAGCAAAGAAGGAGCATCAGATGCTGTCACCCTACACCCTCCCAAATGTCCCACCTGTTCCTCATCCAGCTCTTCGTGCCGCTGGGAACTAGGACAGCTGCTTACTCCCGACTCAGTGCGTAGGGGTGCACATGGGGTCAAGTGGTCATTATCATCTCCACTGACAGCCTTGTGAACTCACCAGGACAGGGGAGATGATATGCCATCCCCTAGTCACGGTTGTTGCCCAGAGGCAGAATATCCAAGGTCAAGACGACGTTCAGGCCGGTGAAATGGCTCAGTGGGTAAACACCTGCCACCAAGCCTGGCAACCTTGTGGGCTTTTTCTAAATTTATTTATGTATTTTATGTATAGAAGTGCTCCGTCTTCATGCATGCAGATCCCACTACAGATGGTTCTAAGCACCATGTGGGTGCTAGGAATCGAACTCAGGCCCTCTGGGAGAGCAGCCAGTGCTCTTAACTGCTGAGCCATCTCTCCAGCCTCCACGATTTTCTTTAGATGTAGGGTCCACTCTGAGACCTACCTATGTGGCTTTGGCATCTGTTACAGACCACCAAATAGGCAGACTCATTTTGGTTCCACACACTAACTGGTATAGCTAGTTTCTCGTCCTGTCTGTATCCCTTTTGTCTCCATTTATCTGCTCCAACCCATAAAAACAGCTCCTCATTTTCTGTGTAATTGACTACTTCTGGTAGAACTCTGGTGGAAGCTGGCCCCATGACTTCATTTATCCTTACGTTCTTTTTCTTTTGTTTACTGTAGCTCTAGACAAGAACACAGCCCAGGGCCGAAGCCCTGAAGAGGTGGCCCAGGCTGTCCTTGCTGCTGTGAAGAAGAAGAAAAAAGATGTGATCTTGGCTGACCTCATGCCATCCATGGCTGTTTATCTCAGAACTCTGGCTCCTGGCCTTTTCTTCAGAATCATGGCCTCGAGGGCCAGAAAAGAGCGAAAATGCAAGAGCTCCTGACACTGGTAGAGCTGCTAGCTTGGGCCAGCCTGATCACACTGAGAGTCACACCTGGGATGGCTCAGCGAGGGGATCCACAGTTGAAAGCTGGTGGAGGGCTGTCTTGTGCTCACGGGTGGGCAGGAGCACTTGTTTCCCCCAGGAGTGGGTTAGGCCCTTGAGTGAATTATAGACTTGGGCTGGGACTCTAAAAGATGCAAAATAAATGACTCAATAGAATCCTGGATGTGCCAGATTTCAGAAGCGGTTCTGGAGGTTTGGGAAACAACCCCAAATGTGTTTTTTTCTTGTTTTTGTTTTTCCCTCAAGACAGAGTTTCTCTGTTTAGCCCCTACCGTCCTGGTACTCACTCGAACTCAGAGATCCACCTGCCTTTGCCTCAAGAGGGCTGGTTATTAAAGGTGTGCACTGCTGAATCTGCTTATTTGGGCTTGTTGGAGATCACGGACCTAGGTCTTATGAAGAGGCTTGAGGGAGAAGGCTGGGATAGGCTCTCCCCAGTCTGTAGTTCCCTTTGCTGTACAAAAAGTTTTTCAACTTCATGAGGACCCATTTATTACTTGTTGGCCGTTATCACCTGAACTGCGGGGTCCTATTCAGAAACTTCTTGCCACTGCCTACATCTGGAAATATTCTCCCTGCTTTTTCTCAACAGGTTTGAGTTTCACGTCGTACATGGAGGTCTTGGATCTATTTAGAATTGAATTTTGTGCAGGGTGAGAATGATCTAGTTTCATTCTTGACAATGGTTTCCCAGGCTTCAAAGCACTACTTGTGTATTTATCATCTTTGTAAAATAGCTCTAATGGTGAGTTTTTATCTGTCTTTTATGTTGCCTCATTAATCTGTCTGCTTAATGTATTTTTGTTATGAATGTAATATAACTTGAAGTCATTTATGGTGATGACCTCCTGCATTTATTCTTTTTGCTCAAGATTACTTTGGTTGTCTGAAGTCTTTTTATGATTCTGAGGGTTTTTGGTTGTTGTTTTTTAGTTTTTATTATTTTCCATGGCTTTTTAATTTTGACGTAATTGCATTGAATCTGTAGATAACTGATATGGTAGCCAGTTTTCTTTCTTCCTTCCTTCCTTCCCAGACTTTATCTCAGTCTGGCCTCATTCATTCTGTAACCAAGGATGGCCTTTAACTTCTAAACTTCCTGGCCCTGCTTCTCAAGCGCTGGGTTTCCATGCATGCGCCACCATGCCAGTTTATGGCATGGTAACGATCAGACCAGGCCCTCATGAATACTAGGCAGCCACAAACTGAGCTACGTTCCTCAACCCAAGATAGCTATTTCACAGTAGTAATTCTTCCAGCCCAGTCTTCCCATCTTTCAGTGTCTTCGGTTTCTTTCTTGAACGTTTTGAAACTTTTCTTTGTAGAGGTCTTAATCCTGGCACTTTACTGAGAATGCTTGTCACATTTTTTTTTTCTGGTGAAATCTTTAGAGTCATGTAGAAACAAAATTTGCAAATAAGGATGCTTTCCCCTTTGCTATTTGTTTTATTTGCTTATTGCTGAGCTTTTTATTATTATCTTATGTGTATGAGTTTTGTCTGCATGTTTATCTATTATGCACCAAGTGCAATACTTGCTGCCCGTGGAGGCTGGAAGAGGCCATGACATTTTCTAGGACTGGAGTTACAGATGGTTTTAAGCTGCCAATGTGGGTGCTGGGAATTAAGTTTGGACCCTCTGGAAGAGCATCCAGGACTCTTTAACCACTGAGCCACCTCTCCAGTGCCTTGTGCTTCTCTTCACCCTGATAGGTGATTTAAAATGGCTGCAGACAGCCGAGGGTTGGTGTTGGAGGCTTTCAAGTTCCATGGGAGAAGGAAGGTGAGTGGGTGATCAGATCTGGTAGCTTATTTACCCTGGCTCACACTTTGTCCTGGATGGCTAAGAACTGGGTGAAAGGTGGATACAGATCAACATGGCCTCTCATCTTCCACAGATACCATCCCACCCTCCTGCCAGGGAAGAGAAAAGACTCCTTAGTGTTCACAGTAGATCCTAGTGCCAAGGAGCAATTGGCGCCAGGAGCAACTGTACTGGGGCTGCAGCCTAGGCCCTGGTGGCAAAAAGCTACAAAGTGCCCAGCATATTCCCAGTGAACAGCAGCAAGCACATTGCCCTAATTCCTTCCTCTCCATGAAGTAAGCCATAGCAACAGCAGAGGACAGAACATCAAAGTGGTTGAGGCGGCTGGTTTGGTGGACATTGTAGGCAGCTTAGAGGTAGTGAGCGTACCAAGGACTCACGGAGCCTGTATACTTATGGGCACTCTACCCTTGTCCTCTTCTTCCCATGCCAGATGATGACCTAAGCCCAGGTCTGAGGACAAGAGAGCCACCAGCAAGGCTCTAGAATGCACAGCTACTCCCAGCTAACCTGAGCCCCCTCTTCGTACCTGCAGTTACCCAGAGAGCTGTGTGCTTGAAAGGCCCAGCCCTAGCCTGCCTTCAACTCATGCTTTACGTTATTCCGACAATTTCAGCCCATTACCTGACTGAATGTGAGAGCAGCTGGCATCTGATGTTGCAGTGTTGTGGCAGTCCCGACTTTCTGTTCTCTGTATCCCCGACCCCCTTTCCTCCTTAAGTTCCTTTAGTATCTAGGTGATAAAGATTCAGTCTCCAGCTTGCTCTTTAAACCTTGTGGTACCTGGCCACTGATGCTTCTCAACCCAGCAGCAGTCCATCCTTCAGGGCAAGAGACAGAGTTCATAGCCAATGGGCTCAAAGCTCTGCCTTGCAACAAAGCTACTGAGCCAGATGTGTAACTGGGGTGAGACCCCGGTGGAAGGAGTGCCCCAGGATGTGCCTGTTCACTGCCCCTTTATAGAGCGCTTTGCTCCTGAAAGTAGTGGTAGGTGGGCAGTTGAGACTAGACTGCTTTGTCAAGATTCCTTCCATGACCCCTGCCCTAAAGAGTCACACAGAACTCGTCAGGTGGGTTTCCAAACTCATCAGTTTTCTTTCTTCTCAACAGAAAAAACCGTGGAAGCATTGTGGCAGTCACCAGAATGTGAGGTTCACATGCTGCCCCTCGCGGCCAGCTCAGGCACATCCACCCCTGCCCTTCTGACCAGAGGCCAGATTACCAAGATGGCACTGTAGAATCTGGGTTGGTACACTTAACAAGAGTCACTTTGTTCAGTGCAGCTTGGGAAATAGGAAGGAGCTGTTAGTACCTGGTTTCTATTTTGGGCGAGGGCATCTGCTTAGCTGAAATGAGGTCCACAGCCCACAGTCCCTCTGCCCCCGCCCACAACCTGAGGTGCTGAAAGAACATAGCCAGACCAGGTGACTGCTTGTTACAAAGGCCCCTCCCATGCTGTGCTTGCCCATCAGGCTCAGAGCCAGCCTTCTGTCACTAATTCACCTTGCAGAGACCTGTTCTCTGGGATTGCTTGTCCCATTAGTATTTTTACAGTACTTGGAATTAAGTAAAGGTTTCTTTCTGTTGTTCAAGATTTATTTATTTATTATGTATACAATGTTCTGTTTACGTGTCCACGTGCAGGCCAGAAGAGGGCATCAGATCCCATTATAGATGGTTGTGAGCCACCATGTGGTTGCTGGGAATTGAATTCAGAACCTCTAGAAGAACATCAGTGCTCTTAACCTCTGAGCCATCTCTCCAGCCCAGGCAAGGTTTCCTATACTTTTTATGGCCTTTTAAAAATGTCTCCCAAACTCTGGATCTCTATTACAAATGGCCCAATCACCCCTGAAAATTCTCTAAAGCCTTGCTTCCCTCACCTCCTGGTTAGGACCCCTTCCTGATGCTGAACAACACAACTTTCTATGGAGAGACTGGCTTGGCTATATCTACTACAGAAGCGCTATGCCCCCACCTAGTCTTTGTGCAGAAGATCATTTTGCTCTTACTTAAGAGCCTTAGATAAAAGACAGGGCATTTCTGTGAGTTCCAGGCTTGCCTGGTCTACGCAGCCAAGTTCCAGTACAGCAAGAAAGACAGTCTCAAAAAACCCAAACTAAAACAACAACAACAACAAAAAACTGTAAGAATCAGTGCCCTGGGCAGAAGCACCTTCTACAGCCCGAGGCACTGGGTTGAACTCAGGCTACATAGGAACAGCAGAGACTTCTGTTTGCTGTGCTCTCCTAAATTAGCCTTTGGAGAAGGGCTTCTGGGTTTGATGTTCTCAGGTGAGCCAAAGAGAGACGGAGGCCACTGTATCATACTATATCCTCAAACAGTTCTCACCAGTGCTAATCAGCAAGGCCAAGGGGGGAGGGGGCAGGACTGGGCTGCACCAACAGGCCAGAAGCCAGGATAGCTTGTCCTATTATGCCATGTGTTCTCTTTCTGGCAGGATGTTAGCTCTGGGGCCTTGCACGCTGCTGCAATGAGTCATAGCAGAGTGTGTCCACAGCACAGCCTGTCCCACACACAGTAGCAGCTGCAGGCACAGGCATAGAAAGAGAGAACAGAAGTTGAAATTCTCATAATTTTAATGGTCAATAGCTTCCGGTTGGCTTCTGAATGGTATAGTTAAACAATGTACTTAAGACACCCCACAGCGAGTTCACACCCCTCAGAAAGTAGCATTGGCTCCCATCCATATTCCATTGCCCAGTCAGACTTCCACAGCCTGGGACTGGCTCCTGGGTTATGGAAATAGACATCTTAGTGTAATGAACTGAATAAACCCCTGGCATACCCATGATCTGTTATTCCTGCTTAAAAAATAACAAGTATTAAACACGTTCCCAGGTGCTGTTGCTTCACAGAGAAAACCCAAAGTGTTGCTGTAGGAATCCGAGTCCTGTGGGCCCTGTGGTTCTGCTTCGCGTCCCACTCTCCTGCAGTCATACGGCGTAGAGCTCATAAACCTTCTTTACACAGTACACCAGGGCAGCCAATGCTATTGTGTTGTGCAGTCTCTTTCTGTGCAGGTCGTCCTTCCGAACCAGCACCACTGGCGTGGAGGAGGTGAGCGTGTGCAGAGGCAGACGGGACAGTTTATAGGCATCATACTCCACCTGGTACTTGCAGCAAGGGTCAAACTGCCAGGAGATCCCATAGAGGGTACAGCAGGCCAGGCTCAGCACACCAGCAGGCAGGGAGATGTAGTGGGAGTAATCCAGGGGCAGTGCCAATGGGGTGAAGAGGCAGGCAGTACCTGCCAACACAGCCGTCTTGTGCAGGCAGTTGCCCACGGTGATCCAACGTGCTGTCTCATCTCCAATTCGGGTGGGCTCTATCACAATGTACTTGTACTGGGCTTCCAGTGCCTGCTCCAGCTCATACTCAAACTGGTCCTGGGCATTCTCCCCACTGTAGATTTCATGTACTATGTAGCAGTCTGTGGCTGACAGGCTAACCCTTTAGTGGAGAGAAAAAGACAAGGAGGTTAGGTTAAATGATCTAGCTTATTTTGGTATGCAGGATTGGACAAATGTTTGCCTCAGCCTCAAGGACATCCCATGTATAGGATCATTTGCTTCAGAACCCAACCTACGAGACAGCATTTTCCCCCCTGGAAGAAATGGTGAAACAAAAAGGTCACAGAGGTGGGCAGGTGTGGTGGTCCGTACCTTTGATCTCAATATCTGGAGGTGGAGGCAGGCAGATCTCTGTGAGTTCAAGACCACTCTGGTCAACACAGGGAGTTCGAGATAGCTAGAGCCACATAGTGAGAGACTGTTAAAATACTCCCCTCAAAAAACAAAAACTACAAAAAAAAAAAAAAAAAAAAAAAAAAAGGTTCTCTCAAAAAAAGAGAGAGACACTACTCAAATACAGGATGGAGGGGGACCTCATATCCAGACCAGCACCCCTTTAGTAAAAAGGCACTGGCTTGACTCAGGCAATGCAAATGCTACATCAGTGGCTGGGCCCATCAATTAAGCTGGGCTCAGGAAAGGCTTAATTAAATCACAAGCCCCAAGCCAGCAAGGCACCAGGGAGAAAGCTATTCCCTAGGGTGGGACCAGAAGCCTCAGCGTGGGATTGGAGGTGGCTCAGAGACGAGCTTGCCTAGTGTGCACAGGGCCACTGGACTCGGGCCTAACACTACAAAAAAATAAAAAGAAGCCACAGCTTTGGGGCATGGCCAAAGCAGCCTGTCCATTGGCATACCATGTTGCAGGCTGCCTGAGTACCCCCAGGAAGCTGATCACCCCAACTAGAAAGCAGATTTTCCCTTGGAAGTCTTATGTAGAATTTCTCCATTTAGAGTAAATTCCAGAGGGGAGGAAGGTGAGCAGGCCACTGCAGCTGTTTCTTTATTTTCAGACATTTCTAGCCATTAAATAAGCTTGAGGTCATTCCAGCTCAAAGTCAAAGTTAAGACCAGCCATGGTGGCACACACTTGGAATACCATCACTCAGGAGTCTGCATTAGAGTTCCAGACTGGCCTGAGCTGCACAAGGAAACCCGGCCTCAAAAAACAAAGTCCCTGATAACTCTATTCTCAAGCGGGTGCACCCATGGCCAAGAGATTCCCTTTTTGTCTCATGTCTATCGGCCAATAAAAGCCAAAGCACCAATTTACACTGCCTTCTATGAAACTGAGATTCCAGACAGAGCCACTTCCAAACCACCCAAGTCCTGCCCGCTTTCAAAGCGGGCACAGAGCACAGCATCTGAAGAAAGCCCTCCACCCCCACCCTCATGTGGAACACTCGAGGAAAATGTGGGTTCAAGTTGGGATTGCAGAGCTCTTACAAGGCCAGTCAACTTCAGTCAAGCCTTCCCTACCCCACAGGCTGTGGCCACCCTGAACACAGGAGAAACAGTCTGTCCCAGGAAGGCACATCCAGCAACTGCAACAGATACTTCCCAGCCAGTCCCAACACCTTCTGCATGCCTAGCTGCCATCCAGCCTACCCAGGCCAGGCAGAGAGCCTATCTCTTACTATTTGTCAAGACAAATGAGTGGGTGTGTTTGTGATTATAGCAGACGTGTAGACATGGGAGGCCAGTGCTCCATAAGACGAGTTGACATGAAGCAGTGACATGAAGCAGACACAGGGAAGAAGAGCTCTGAGTCACTGGGTCGTGACTCTCACAGGTCTCAATGCAAGCAGCTTTGTGAACATCATAACTTAATAGCACATATAAACACAAATGCCCATCCAATCCTCATATCCCTAAACTGGTTCTGTAGACCAGCTAACCACAGCCCTTCCCCATCTGCTATGGACTTGGCCTAACTATACAGCATGAAAAGCAAAGTGGGCCAACAGAGGAAGGAGTGTCAAGGTCACAGGTAGATAGCACCTATACACCCATGGGTACCAGAGATACCAATTCTTCAGGGACAGCCAGTTAAAAAAGTAGTCCTGACAGGCACGGCCATGGTCATGCCTTTAATCCAAGCACTCAAGAGGCAGAGGCAGGCTGATCTCTGAGCTCATGGCCAGCCTGGTCTACAGAGTGAGCTCTAGAACAGCCAAGAAAAACTGTCAACAGACAGAGAAACTCTCTCGATTGAACAAAAACAAGAGTGTGGAGTCTCCTTTGGGATGGTTGAATCTTTAAAGATTTATTTTATGTATATGAGTGCTCTGATAGCATTATACCTTCCTGACAGAAGGGGGCACCAGACCCTACTATAGATGGGTGTGAGTCACCATATTGTTGCTGGGAATTGAACTTGGGACTTCTGGAAGAGCAGCCAGTGCACTTAACCACTAAGCCATCTCTCCAGTCCGGGATGGTAAAATCTTTAGAAAGTATATTTCCAAGAAGAAAACGTCACATTCAAACCAAACATCCATGAAGCACATGCCTCTACACTGAAGCGCATGTGATCAGACAAGGCACCAGCACCCTACTTTGTTAAGCACTGGTAGGAGGGGTGCTGTGTAACATGGCATATGTGGGTTTTGAAGGGCTCAGGTTGGTGATGAACTACCCAGGAGCCGGGCGACTCTAGCCATCTTTCAACCACTCCAGGCCAAGTGGCTGGCTTTCACATCTGAGTCAAGTGTGTCCTGGCTCAAAGGCCAGGTAATGAAAATGCTTGGTCTCCACACCAATGGGAGACGGAGGTAGGACAGTGAAGGCAGGAGCAACCACAATGCTAGTAAGTATTTGGGAATGCCAAGAAGAAACACTGTTTTGTATGCTCACTACAAAAAATCAGTAACAAAAATGTTTTTGAGCTACCACCAACTGGTCTCAAGTTGGAAGGTGAAGGCCCTAGGCCTTAAATCCTAAGAGATCTGGCCACAGGTACATGGAAACAGATTAATAATAATAATGATGATACCAGCTGAGTATCTCTTATGCCTCAGTGTTCCGGCCTTTGGATATGTTCCGGTACCCCTAGTCAACATACATAATAAGATGACATGAGGACAGGACCCAAAACTGAAGAGGAATTCACTGCTTTTTTTCCTTGCCTTATAGAATCTGTGTGAGCTAGTTATATCAACTTGAAACAAGCTAAAGTCATCTGAAAAGAAGACCTCAATTGAGACAATGGACAATGCCTCCTTATAGTCCAATTGCAGGGCACTTTCTTAATTAGTGATTGGGGGAGGGGGTCAGGAACCCCACTGTAGGGGCTTCCATCTGTGGAACCTACATTCTCTAAGAGTGTGGGCTGATGTAGTGGGTGCCTGTGGCCCACGCTCCTGCTGACTGTGAAGAGCCATGGTATTGACTGCAGGGTACAACTGAGAAAGACGGACATAGGTTTCTGTAGCAACCCTTACTGACCCCCCAAAGGAACAAACAGCCTAGACAGAAAGCCAACGAAGAGAACTCTTTAAAAAAATGTGATAATGGGCTGGAGAGATGGCTCAGACGTTAAGAGCACCAGCTGCTCTTCCAGAGGGCCTAAGTTCAATTCCCAACAACCACATGGTGACTCAGAACCATCTATAATGAGATCTGGTGCCCTCTTCTGGCATGCAGGTGTACATGCAGACACAACACTGTATAAATGAATGAATGAATGAATTTTAAAAAGATTGTGATAAGGACACTGAAGTGTAGTGCTCCACAATGAATGGCTTCTGGTGGAAGTGAGGGCAGGGAAAGACTCAGTTTTGTTTTGTTTTATTTTGTTTTGTTTTGTTTTAAAGGGGTTGGCCACTGGTATATGGGAACACAAACTAGACCTTTTTTTCCTAGTGGGATCCCAAGGGTGTGGAGGGGGGCAGACCTGGGAGGACTGGGAAGTGAGGGTGCTTGGGGTTCATGATGTGAAATTCCCAAATAATAAAACTATTAAGAAAAGAAAGAGAGAAAAAGAAAGAAAAAGAAAAAGGAAGGAAGGAAGGACGGGCAGAAGGAAGGAAGGTTGAGCAGGCCATGAGGAGCAAAAGTATTCCTCCTTGGCCTCCATATCAGTTCCTGCCTCTAGGTTCCAGCCTTGCTTCAGTTCTTGTCCTGACTTCCTTCCCTGATGGATGGACTATGGACGAGGAAGTGTTAGCCAAATAAACTCTTTCCTCCAACTTGCTTTGGTTTCAGCACAGTCATAGTAATCCTAAGTCACAAGCGAACCTAAGAGATTTCAAATGGTATTTCTGGTGTACTGCACTGTGACTACCTGTCATGTCAATGATGGGGTGTGGGATTTTCCACTTGTGGCATCAAATGAGCAGTTTCAAAGTTTGAAGCTTTTCAGATTAGATATGTACCATCTGCAGCTGATCAGAATCTTGAGCTTTTTACTGTATGTACCCCTGCAATGATGCTCCAATGTGAAATGGCAGCTGAGAGTCAGAGAAATTGAGTCAAGGGAAAAAGGCAAAATGGAAAACCCTGTTTATAACACACTCGTTTTGTCTGTGTTGTGTGCATGTCTGCGTAGGTCCTTGAGTAGGTGTGTGCATGCGGAGGCCGGAGGCCTGAGGCCAGTGTCTGATGTTTTCTCTATTCTCTCCACCTCCCCCTACTCGACATGGTTTCTATTTGCAGCCCTGGCAGTCCTAGAACCTTGAACTCAGAGATCCACCTGCCTCTGTCTCAAGTGCTGGGATTAGAGGCATATGCCCTGACAGCCTGGCTCCACCTTGTTTGTTGAAACAGGGCCTCTCACTGACCCTTGAGTTTGTCAAGACTGGCAGGCAAGTGAGACTTCCAAGGGTCCCTCTGTATCTTCCCTCCCCAGCACTGGGGTTACAGATACTGGTCCCCACATCCAGCTTTTATTTAAGTATCCCTCCTGCAAGCAGGGCACACACCTTACCCACGGACTCCTCAGCCCCTGTAGGGTGTTATTTTAGTTATCTACCTGATTACATAAAGGCACCTGAATATTTATAGAAGACAAGGATGTCTAAGAATAGGGCTATCATTCACTTGGAGGGAACTGAGTAGCCTGGGGAAATAAAGGGAGCCCCTTTTCACTAAATAAATGACC